TATATTAATTTTATATTTTGTTTTAATTAAATCTAATATATAAAAATTTATATAAAATTAATTATAGATGTTATATTTAATGAAATTTAACTTCTGTCTAGAAAATTTATTTATTTAATTATTAATTAAAGGAGTAGAGGCTTAGAGAAAATCTGTTGTATGCCTCGGATACCACATCAGCAATATCCCATATCAATCAAAAAACACCACATTAACTTTATTTTACACTTCATCAATCCCCTAATGGAAAGGACAATAAATAGCAAATTCTAATTTAACTCACCACACAAATCTTTCCCACATTAAATTTGTTTTTGCACCTTTCTCACCTTCTCTCATTTTCTTTCTTTCTTTCATTTCATTATTTTTCAGACTTTTAGTATTATAGTCAATTGTAATCTCTTCTCATTCAAAACGTTAACCTCAGGCAAAAATATATTAATACAAAAATACTTATGCTAAAAATTTTTCATGTTCTATCTAATTTGCTTTGCTTTTGTGAATAAAAAAGGGTCTTCTTCGTCTTCTTGATTCTCTTCCAAAAGAGGTTTGCTTTTTATTATGGTAAGTTTTAGGCAATTACGTTGTGAATTGGATTTATGCTTTTTTCTTTTTTTTTGGTAATTTGTTATAATAGACATTATAAATTTTTAACTTTTTTAAAATTACAAATGATTTTCTCTATAGAAATGTTTTATGACTTTTGAGATTGGAACATGCAGTTTGTTGATGGTACTCTTCAACAACAAGAATACATATGTTCAGAGTAAGAGTTTTGTAGAGATGAAGATTCTTATAATGTGAAAGAGATTAATTATTTAGAGACAAGAATAGAATGTAAGGCTAGAATTCGATTCACTATATCAAATAAAACTTAGGAGGTTACACACTTTAATAACACTCTTTTATTAAAAAGATGAACTTTTATTAAAATAAAATAATATTCTAAGGTACATTGCAATTTTTTTAAAAAATATAGTACAAGGCAATTTTTTTATGAAAATGAGACAAGAAAATTTTCCTAACACCCCACCCCACCCGACCCCAAAAGAAAAGAGCAATTCTTGAATCTTGATGTTCCCCTCCTATTTTTCTTCTAGTATTCATCATACCGTGGCTAACTCTCTAAATGGGGTTTCCTAGATAATGAAAAGGTAGCTTCTTTGAACTTTATATCTTAGTCCTATTCTCAATCAATATATCGTTGGTATGAGGGTTTATAGATTGCTCAACTAACCAAAAATCAATCACCTGCATAACACATAAGCTAAAAAAATGACAAGAAAAGGCAATAATCTCATCTTTTGATGCTATGGATGCAAGCAACATGTTATCACTAGTGGCATAGAAAAGGCATACCAAACCTATCTCCAATTAAGATGATATCTAGACTAAATGGAGGATTTACAAATAGAGTTGTCCTAGCCAACAAAGAATGCCCCATCAAATGCCATAAGTCAGGAAATACATAAAAACTGGAGGAATTTTGTGAAAAAGAACAAAATCTTCCTCAACCCTACTCAAGCATTGTCCCCATATAGGTAATCTTACTTAAGAAATACATCAAACACTTAGTGGGCCTAAAAAATGTTTAATTTCTTATAACTAATTTTAACTATTTTTCCTTCAACCAAATCAACCAAAAAACATGCATCTACAAATCACACAAGCAAAACTTAGCAATTGCAAATTGTTTATTGAAAATAGCCATACCCAAGCAAGAGAAACTTAATAATTGTTTCACCTT